ATAAATAATTAAAGTGTATAAGTACCTCTAACACACATAACAGTAACGCGCGTAACTTTTCGTTACGTGTGTTACCTTGAATAAAATTAATTATAAAATTTTAACTATTGGCAGTTTTAATTCGAGAATTTTTTCCGTTGCATATCTTGCCTTCTTAATTTATAAAACAAAAAATTTTTAAATTTTCTTTTTTACTAAAGTTTTTACAGAAAAAAATGCAAAATTATGTTACGTGTGTTACTGGGAAATTAGACTATCTTGATTAATCGACTTTCAAACAAGCAAAAAAATTTAGGCCAAATTAAAAAAATACATTAAACAATGATAAAAGAGTAAAATAGTTATATTTATTACTAAAAACTATTTTATTGCTCTTTAATATTTTAAGAACTCCATTGGAATATAACATAACAAAGAAGAGAACTCCTGTTAAAATTCATAGTGTTCCACCTTTTGTTAGAATTCACATAAATATTTTTTGTAATTCAAAAAACTGTTTTAACTATTAAAAAATGTACATCTTCTAGATTCCGAAATTGTGTCATTTTTGATTTTACGGTAATTTTGAAAATTTAGTCACTCAGGACCACTTTTCGTGGAATCGCCCCTCTCCTCTTTTCTGATTTGAAGATCTGGTGCTGCCATCTCTTCGAATAATATTCAACTAATTTTCTAAACATTTTACATCCACGAATTAAAAGTATTAAATATATTCATGCTATTATTCACGCATTGTTTTATTTTTAACTCGTGGTTTTCGTTTGTACAAGTAGAAATTTGACTAATGATTTTAATTTTACAAATTGCCAATTGAAACTTCGAACCACTTATGAAACTGTAGCAAGATTATCTTCATTCACAAAGGAAGCAAGTAAATAAAAAAGCATTAATAAAGCTTCGTTGACAATAGATAAAAATATACCATTATTCAAACTATTTTAATATTAAAAAATAGTTTGAAATTATACCTTGTATCAGTCAATTAAACATAAAGTTCTTTGAAATGAAAATATTTGTTTCAACAGATCTGCTAAGAGCTTAAGCGTTCGGACGGAACGATGGGGACCTAGAGCCTAGCTGATTAATTTGCATGTAAACTTCCTGTATTTAAACATTTAAACTTCATACATGTAAACTTCATCATACATGTAATCATACATGTTCATACATCTAAACTACATGTTCATACATGTAAACTACATGTTCATACATGCAACTACATGTTCATACATGTAAACTACATGTTCATACATGTAAACTTCATCATACATGTGTTCACTTTCATACATGTCAACTTGTGTAAAATTCTTGTAATTAAAGGCTAAGGTGGGGAAAATCTTCGATATATTTGTTTGTATCGAAAATATATATTTATTTCAAATACTTAAAATATCCCAAAAAACATGTAACCTTACGGCAACCGTGTGTCAGAATTTTCCTTTTATTGTCACGAAAATGTTTGTACTAAAATTCTTTTTTCAATAAAGCAAAAATATTGCAGTTTCAAACCTTTCATCCTGATAGTATTAAAAATTATAATTTAAAGTTTTTTTTAAAAGTACTGTGACTTAGGTAGCTGAGCATACAAGACGTTGCGAAAAGAAACCTTATAATTACCTACATTTAAGATTATTTGCACCTTAAGAACAGCCTTATTCAAGAATTTTTTTCCTCGCTTGAAAACCCTAAGACAACCTTGATTCAAGGTTTTTATATAGAAGATTGTTTTCCAAGATTTTGGATTAGGGTAATGTGCGTAGAATAGAGCGGATTGGATTATGGTAATGTGTGTAGATTGTCGCAGATCTCGTTTTAAGGTTAGAAGGTTTACACGTAAACCTCATAAAAAATATTTTTAGGTTTACATTAGACGGTTTTTACCGAGTGAAAATAAACCTTATTTTGCTATCTGGGACAGTACGATAATGGGCTAAAGATTTGTTTTTAACAAGTGTAAATTCACGTAAAATCCACCATATTTGGCATTTTTTAGTAAAAAGTAGATTGTCGTCTTATATACCGGATCTACAAATACACCAAAAAATACAATGATTGTAGTAATTATAACATGTTAATTAGCTTCCAAAGTCATAAGATACCTCTTTAACAAATGAATAAATAAAACTTTAAAAAATATGCATTTTAATATATCACGGGAATGTATTCGAAAGAATTAAAAGTCGCTCTAAAAACGATAGATGAACTTTAAATTATTATTACTTATTGCTAATATATTTTGATTTTATATCAAATGATTAAATTTAATATCTCCTGCTGTTATATGTGATTAAAAAACATATATAAATATATTTTAATGCGTTAAAAAATAGATACCAGTGTTGGTGAAGCCGTAACTAACGGAACAATAAATTATTAATATGAAAAATCTGCATTCTTTAAATTTTACAATTATAAATTTTCTAGTAAACTTGAAGATAAATTTTAAAAATTCAAGGAAAACTCCTTTAATTACTCAAGTATTAAAGAAGTATTTATTTAGTATCTTTTATTTAGTACTTTTTTTTATCATATTTAGTATATTTTATTACGTTGAAAGCTAAATGACAACTTCTTATTAATATAGTATTTATGTTATTAAAAAAAATTAAAAAAAGTTATTTACAACACAGTATTAAACACGGTTCTTTAATATTAGTAGAAATGTTAGACACAAATGTTTTTAAATGTCGGGCACTTGGGACGAAGACCCATTGACCTCAGAAAATGCCAGAACTGCTACTCTCTTCTCGTTACCCAGTGAGCACCTGTGGCGAAAACCAGGGTGGTGGAGCAACGCCGCCCACGTCACACAACCACAAACCCGTTTATAGAGCGGGTCACATTCACACACAAAGAAGAAGGGACATAGAACACATAGAGAAAGAAACATCCATGCCCTGAGCAGGATTCGAACCCGCGACCATCGGCTCCACAGTCAGGCACGCTAACCACCCGGCCACCGGGTCGGCAAGACACAAATGTTTAAAGTTGCAATAGTTAAGGGTTTGGCCCTGATTTGATCGGGGGAAAAACTCTTATAATATACAGACATACAGACTGAGTGTGATGTTTACGTCATATTATTCTTTCCTATTTCACCTGTCTCTAAATTTCTCTCATTTTATTAAAATAGTTACACAAATAAAAACTTACTAAAATATTTATTTCAATATAATTATCAGAAATGCAGCAACAACTGCTTTTAAAGTTAGAATGTCTGCAGAGTAATATATTATTAAGGTAAACAAATTCCAATCCAAATAAACATCCACTATGGCTGTAGAACCCTCAGCAGAGCTTTCCTGAAATCCCCACTTGTGTCAGCTGCTACGTCCTCGGCTATATCTTTCTTAAATAACTGTAAATACGCTTCTTTAATGTCCTCCAGGTCAATCTATTGGAATATAAAAAGTGAGATTCATGTTATCATAAAAAAAATTTTAATGAAATATTTATACAAGGTGGTCTATAATCACCGCCCTTGATATATACTTTTAGAATTCATGTCAGAAATTAAAAACTAAATGTATATATACATAATAATATGAATAAAATATGATTTTTTTTTCCAGAAATGTAACTTGATGATGGAAATATATATA